CCAAAATTTGACGTAAAATTCAAAATGGCCTACTTCCTGTTGATTTTAGGGCATCGCTCCAAGAGGCTTTTTTGTGCGTCTGGACAAGATACACGTACCACAGAAAATTCGTGCACGTAGGTAAAACGTGCGGCGGGGGCTGCTTCGTTAAAAGTCACTTCCTGTTGCCAGCAGGTGGCGCTATGACTGTCTGTGAATGTCAGCATGTACATGTGTTCAGGGCGGGACTCTCATCCTACATGTACAGTTTGGTCCAGATGTGAGCATGTACACTGAAGTTACGACAACTTCCGTGTCATGGCGAAGAGTTGATCTTTGACGCCACGCCACGGACACGCCCATTGACGAAAACTTGCAAATAGCACAACTTTTCATCTTCAATGCCTTTAGAAGGCACAGCACAAATTTGAGGTCGGTCGGACTAAATCCCTAGGAGGAGTTCGTTAAAGTACGAAGTGTGTAAATCATCCAAAATTTGACGTAAAATTCAAAATGGCCGACTTCCTGTTGGGTTTAGGCTATGGCTCCAAGAGACTTTTTTGTGCGTCTGGACAAGATACACGTACCACAGAAAATTCGTGCACGTAGGTAAAACGTGCGGCGGGGGCTGCTTCGTTAAAAGTCACTTCCTGTTGCCAGCAGGTGGCGCTATGACTGTGGGTGAATGTCAGCATGTACATGTGTTCAGGGCGGGACTCTCATCCTACATGTACAGTTTGGTCCAGATGTGAGCATGTACACTGAAGTTACGACAACTTCCGTGTCATGGCGAAGAGCTGATCTTTGACGCCACGCCACGGACACGCCCATTGACGAAAACTTGCAAATAGCACAACTTTTCATCTTCAATGCCTTTAGAAGGCACAGCAAAATTTGAGGTCGGTCGGACTAAATCCCTAGGAGGAGTTCGTTAAAGTACGAAGTGTGTAAATCATCCAAAATTTGACGTAAAATTCAAAATGGCCGACTTCCTGTTGGGTTTAGGCTATGGCTCCAAGAGACTTTTTTGTGCGTCTGGACAAGATACACGTACCACAGAAAATTCGTGCACGTAGGTGAAACGTGCGGCGGGGGCTGCTTCGTTAAAGGTCACTTTCTGTTGCCAGCAGGTGGCGCTATGACTGTGGGTGAATGTCGGCATGTACATGTGTTCAGGGCGGGACTCTCATCCTACATGTACAGTTTGGTCCGGATGTGAGCATGTACACTGAAGTTACAACAACTTCCTGTTTCATTGCGAATCATCGACGCCACGGACACGCCCATTGACGAAAACGCGCAAATAGCACAACTTTTCATCGTCAATGCCTTTAGAAGGCACAGCAGAAATTTGACGTCGATCCGACTAAATCCCTAGGAGGAGTTCGTTAAAGTACGAAGTATGTAAATCATCCAAAAATGGCCGTAAAATTCAAAATGGCCGACTTCCTGTTGACTTTAGGCTATGGGTTCTTGAGGCTTTTTTGTACATGTCCCCAGAAAATTTCGTACATGTAGGTTGAACGTGAACGAGGGGCTAATCATTTCCAATTTTCTAGGTGGCGCTAGCGAGTCATTTTGCCACGCCCATGTGCGAAACTTGTAGAATACGAAATTTTTCACCGGTTCTGACATGTTTGCAAATTTTGGTGAGTTTTCGAGTATGTTTAGGCCATGTCATTTGGGCCTACTTTGCAGAAAAAAAAAAAGAAAAAAAATAATATATATATATATATATATAATCCGAGCAAATTCAATAGGGACCTCACACGGTCGTGCTCGGGCCCTAAAAAAAAATATATATATATAATCCGAGCAAATTCAATAGGGACCTCGCACGGTCGTGCTCGGGCCCTAATAATCCGAGCAAATTCAATAGGGACCTCGCACGGTCGTGCTCGGGCCCTAATAATCCGAGCAAATTCAATAGGGACCTCGCACGGTCGTGCTCGGGCCCTAAAATAATCCGAGCAAATTCAATAGGGACCTCGCACGGTCGTGCTCGGGCCCTAATAATCCGAGCAAATTCAATAGGGACCTCACACGGTCGTGCTCGGGCCCTAAAAAAAATATATATATAATCCGAGCAAATTCAATAGGGACCTCGCACGGTCGTGCTCGGGCCCTAATAATCCGAGCAAATTCAATAGGGACCTCACACGGTCGTGCTCGGGCCCTAATAATCCGAGCAAATTCAATAGGGACCTCGCACGGTCGTGCTCGGGCCCTAAAAATAATCCGAGCAAATTCAATAGGGACCTCGCACGGTCGTGCTCGGGCCCTAATAATCCGAGCAAATTCAATAGGGACCTCACACGGTCGTGCTCGGGCCCTAAAAAAATATATATATATATATCCGAGCAAATTCAATAGGGACCTCGCACGGTCGTGCTCGGCCCCTAATAATCCGAGCAAATTCAATAGGGACCTCACACGGTCGTGCTCGGGCCCTAAAAATAAAAAAATATAATCCGAGCAAATTCAATAGGGACCTCGCACGGTCGTGCTCGGGCCCTAATAATCTTAGCAAATTCAATAGGGACCTCACACGGTCGTGCTCGGGCCCTAATAATCCGAGCAAATTCAATAGGGACCTCACACAGTCGTGCTTGGGCCCTAATAATAATCTTAGCAAATTCAATAGGGACCTCACATGGTCGTGCTCGGGCCCTAAAAATAATCTTAGCAAATTCAATAGGGACCTCGCACGGTCGTGCTCGGGCCCTAAAAATATATATATATAATCTTAGCAAATTCAATAGGGACCTCACACGGTCGTGCTCGGGCCCTTATGATCCTGTTCTACAAGGCTGTTTTAGAAAGTATTGTTAAGTATGGTGTTACAGTATGGTTTGGGAACCTATCTATACAGCTAAAATCCAAATTGTCACATCTGGTGTTGACAGCACTGAAAACAGTTGGAAATGAGGAATCTTTGAATCTCCAACAGTTATTTGAGAATAGCACTTTAAATCAGGTGCAGAAAATTGTGGGGGACCAAACTCACTTTCTGCACTCTCAGTATGAATTGCTCCCCTCCGGCAGAAGATATAGAGTTCCACTGTGCAAACTAAACCGGTATAAAAATTCTTTTGTTCCTGTGTCTACACGTATGTTGAATAATAGTCTATCTTATTAATTTTAAATTTGTAAATTAATTGTCTTTCCTCTTTTTATACTTTTTTTACTTGTATATTGTATATTTCTATGTACATGCAGCAACCATGCAGTCCAAAACAAATTTCCTTTCGAGGACAATAAAGTATACTACTACTACTACTACTAACTAGGTCAGAAGTTTATGAAAGGGTTCTTTACAAAGTTAATACTTCACCGCGCAGCTCATTCGAATTTGTGCACTAAGCCATCGTTAGCTGCACGAAAAAACGTCTTACACAAGCGCCATCTTGCGCAGCCCCCCGCCTCCCTTCCTACACGCTTGCCTCTCATTGAAAATGAGTTACGAGGCTTCCCGTGTGAAAATGTGCGAGCTGAGGCGATACTAAAATGTGACGTGAAAACACAGCAGCCTACTGATTGGTCAGAGAGAATCGTCACTATTCACTGCGTAATCATTGTGACAGAGGTCAGCAACAGAAAGTTTTACATTTTACAATTTTCATACTTTATTTCATCACTAAATCCACTTCTGAGGAGTGCGACAGCTACATGTGGATAGGCTACTCCGTTGCCAGTGCTCAACGTCGTTGAGAAGCTCGTCGCCGTCAGGCTTGAATTTTTTCACTCATTTTTTTTTATTGGCGGAGAGGTGCATTACCGCCACCACCTGGACTGGAGTGTGGAACCAGAGATTATTTTCAATACAAGGAGCATAGGCCTACATGTTCCAGCCTTTTTTGTCTTTAAAAGTGTTGCTGTAAAAATACTTGAAAGTACAAGAATACATTTTACACAAAAATATAAAAGGAGGGTAAAACTTAAGCAGTATTATATGGATATAATATTTATCCAAGATATTAATCAATTTAATTATGTAAGTTATGTCAGCTGAGATGTTTGTACTTTAAAAAACAAACAGTACTTTAGCATTGTTAGTATGTTTTTGTCAAAATATTTAAAAGGTTCTTTTGTAAATCAAACCAAAAGGAAGCGTGACAAAGTACCTAGAAATGTGTTCAATATATTCCCCTCCTTTTACAGGTTTGACCAGTGTTCACATTTTTGGTCAAATTGCAGTATAGTGCAGTCTATATTAATCGGGCATTAATCTGTTTATTGTGGCTGAACTGATTTAAATTGTTTTTTGGCTGCTGTTTAGTTCATTTATTATGATTGTTGCTTTTATGATAATACCAGGCCAGGATTGGCACTGCCAAGCCAACAGGAACCAGTAGTCGTATCCAACAATATCTATCCAGAGTCAGTCAGCACAACCCTAACCCTCTGCTGGTCCACCCTAAAGACAGGAACTCTTTAAAAGCTCTAGTCCTTCTTCTCTGCTCGTTGCCATCAAACTGCCAGCTGTTAAACATGACACTTAACCCTGCCCTGTCCCTCCGATGATGAAGAGCAGTGGATAAATGATGCGTGTGAGGAATTAACCCCAGAGGATGTGAGATGATTTGATTGCTGGGGATGAGTGCTGAGCAGGTTTCCGTCCTACAGGCCTCCTTACATTTGGCTCTCCCAGCAGATTATGACGTCACGGCACAGTGGGAATGGCCCTTCATCTGGAGTCAGGATTAAGTGTTTGTAGGTAGTGGTCTGTAGCAGCAGAGCTGAGTTCATGCGGTCCTGCTGGCTGCTCCCCTGTGGACCTTGCAGGACATGAAATGTAGGACTTTTGCTGTCTGGAGAAGAACGACACAAATAAAACGAAAGACGTCTGAGGCTCGTTTCCTTCCCTCGGTGAGCTGAATGATCTGTTCTGCAGCTGCTGTTTGTGTTTTACATGTCAACAGAAAAAGGTCTTTGTGAATGTGATGGAAAACATGCCTGTGAGGTTTGTGCTCATGTTGAGGTACTTTACCATTAACATTTTATTTCTAGACTGTGTGCCTCTGACAACCAGTCAGCAAGATGAAATGGAGCATGCTGGGTACGGTTGTCTTCTTTCTGCTCTCCGTGGTCATGACCTTCTGCTTCATATGGCAGTACAGGCTGCCAAAGCTGAAGACAGGTAAAGTTTATGTAGTCATTAACACCCACAGTGTGTAGTGAGTTAACACCCACACGTAGACTAAGAGATGACTCTGCAACCAGGATCTACTAGTGGACCTGGGATTTCCTCAGCCTGGTGTAATTGCTCGTTTGCAGGAGCTGCAGCAGGATTACACAAAGCTGGAAATAGTAGCAGCAGGATTAAAGCAGACTTCAGGAGGAGGAGGGAAGCCAGAGCCAAGCAGCCACCACCTTCAGATTCTCATGATTTGTATGCAACATAAATCTAGATTTGGCTCAGCGACAGCTCTGTGTTCAGTGACTGACTGTGTCCAACAGGGTTAGGGTTATATAGTGTTAGGGGATATATATATATACACATACACACACACATACATATACATATACACACACACATACATATATATACATATATATATATACACACACACATATATATACATACATATATATACACATACACACACACACATATATACACACACATACATATATATATATATATATACATACATACATATATATACATACACACACACATACATATATACATACATATATATATACACATACACACACACACACATATATATATACATACATACATACATATATATATATACACACAAGCTTGAGAAATACCAAGGGCTGAAAGAGGAGCTAGAAAAGATGTGGAGAGTAAAAGCAACAGTGGTGCCAGTGGTAATCAGAGCACTGGGGGCTGTGACCCCCAAACTGGGAGAGTGGCTACAGCAGATTCCAGGTAAAACATCAGAGGTCTCTGTCCAGAAGAGTGCAGTCCTAGGAACAGCTAAGATACTGTGCAGAACCTTCAAACTCCCAGGCCTCTGGTAGAGGACCCGAGCTTGAGGATGACGCATATCACCCCACAAGGAGGGACAGGGGGATTATTTATTTTATTATATATAGATAGACATTCTGTACATGTCTATTTGAATTTTTTTGTAAATGTGTCCTGAATTGATGAAGATATCTGTTGTGATGTGGAAGAGAATCTGTGATACAACAGACCAGACCGTAAGCCAAAGGAGTGTATCCCATTCAACAGTCCTGTCTCTTTCTTTTCTGTATTACAATGACATGCTCTGTCAACAAATTACAGAACGAACAGTAAAAGCCTAGCTGTGATTCCTGTCCTCTCTCCTGCAATGTATAACTTTGTACTGATGAAAGTGATATGCGGCATACAAACAAAGTGCAGCCTTGTGTGTTTCAATCATTGTCATCAAAATCTTAGCCAAAGTGTACATCAGAAAATTCTTAGGGTACACTGTTATATTGACAAGATGGCTAAACATTTTGACTTGCTTGTTCATAAACAAGACATAAGGACTTGTCGCTCTGATGGCACTGACAAGTTCAGTGATCTAAATATTTACTTTTGACAGATAGACTAAGAATTTTGAGCCAGTTAAGGGCTTTTGCAGGTAATCCACTGTGTTGTACTGTTTGTACTACCCGTTTTGAGAAATGCAACTGAGAAAAACTGTAATGCACTGAAAATGTTATTTTTCATCAGAAATCCCTTTCACTCCAAAGGTATTGGAGCTGACAGACAGAGATCAAATGCTCTCGCTTGTCGTGTGTCTGCTTGTATTTTAAGCGTTCCATATTTTTACACTGTGATGCAGGAGCAATATGTGAAACTGCCAAATGGTCACTGTTCTCAAACAGAAGAACATTTATTCAGACAACAGCAACACGTCAAATACAAGAAGGGCAGATGTTTGATGGGAAGAAAACATCAAATCCCAAATAGAGGGAAGCATGTTCAGCAGTTCATGTTAATCCAAATGTCATTTCAATGAAACTAGTTTCTCCAATATTATTAAACGTTAAACTAAACTAAATTTGATCTACACATGGGGGGCATGAATTTGGTTTGGTGTCCAAAGTGTGTGACAGGTGTCGTCCACACAAGCAGTGAAATAATACACATTTCAACAACTCCAAAGCTGCACATTTACAGTAGGCCTCCATGTCATGTTTTGTTGGATAGAAAGAGAGTTTTGTTCAGTTTGTTCAACAGAACTCAGACCTGACTAATCCCATTAACGTTCCTGTAACTTCTCCTACATCTCTTGTTTTCTACAGTAGCAGTTCCCAATGCTTCCTGTCTCTGTGCTAAGCTAGGCTAAACAGACCCTGGAACTAGTCTCTCTTTGTTGGATGCACACAAGTCTTTTAAACCGATCTTCTTAGCTGACTATAGGTTTGACAACAAGCAGTTTTTACATTTAGTTTAGTTAAGATACATTTAATCATTTTCGCTACTACATGAAAGTATAAAAGTTGTCCACAGTCACACCTGGGAGTCTGATTGTGCATCTCTGGCTACACAGTCAGGGTGTACATCCTACCATGGCCAGCCGTGTCTGCATGTTTCATACGTGGAGGGTCTATTTCCCTTTTTCAACAGAACTGGTTGTAAACAAAGCGACAGCAGAGGAGATGTGCCCTCACTTCCCTGAGCCCGTGCCCCTCAAACATCCCATCACGTCGCTGGAGGTAGCCTTAGAAAAGGTGAACCTATTTTTCTAAGTCATAGACGCTCTGGATTTAGTTGTCGTTTTTCTTACTGATGTTTCTCCTAACAGATACATCTCCTCCTGAAGTCCAGCGTTCACACCACCAAGCTGCCGGCGATATCAGCCATCGTGATATTAAATGACTCTGTTCTGTGGAATGGAAATTTTGGCAAGAAGAACGCAAGCGACCCCTCCTCACCTGCACCCGATGAGTACACAGTGTACAGGTGAGATTTACACTCACACAGTGGATGAGATTAACATAAAATATGACAGAGGTATGACAGAAGGGAAGTAGTGATGTGTCTAATGCCAAATAGTTATTATTCAGCCACTCCACCTGAACATGATGTAACCTGCAGTCTAATTCTTCTACAGGATATTTGATCTGAGGCTTAGAGGCAGAATTAAGGGTTGGGGTTAGGACCTGTGATCGATGAGACTGAACCACTCACTCACTGAATGAATGTGTGTAGCAGTCGTTAAGCTGTTTATTGTTAAACCAGGATGCTTTTATTTATTAGGAATAATCATGTTGCACTTTCATCACTGTGATTACAGAATCGCGAGCGTCTCTAAGATCTTCCCCACACTGATGCTTTACAAGCTGTGGGAGGATGGCTTGGTGGACTCTCTAGATGATCCCCTGGAGAAGTACGCAGACAACTTCACCATCAAGAACCCGCTGGGGACAGGTGGGGGGCCAGCACCCTCTCCAGTCAGGACCCTGGGCAGCCTCTCTCCTGCACTCACCCTGCGCAGGATGGCCAGCCAGCTCTCTGGTAAGCACGCCATCTGTTCCAACGACGTGGCGGCCATCTTTGATTAACCTACATCAAATGAACATACATCAGGAAACAGTATAAACTGGTTCCAGACATCTCAATCACCACCATCATCTCTGTTCAGTGACCAATATGGATATATATATGAAAAATGCTGCAAGCATGGATGAGATGGACACAGCTGTACAGGCTGTTGTTCCCTAACTTTTAAAACAAGTCTTTGATGGTCATGAGAAACATTAGGTTTACTAAATGCTCCATCATGCATCTCTTGCCTATCCTGAAGTGGTACATAACAAAGCTGTTCTGTTGTCTAACTAGTGGTTCCACGTCCAGTCACCCCATTACATCACAGTCAAATAGCTCAGAGTTAAGGAAGCACATGTTAAAAATGTAGGTCTAGACTCTCAAACTGGACACCATAATTCAGTACCACCCACCACAGGACCTTAGCTAACCTGGGCTCACATAAAAAGAGGTGCTATAATTACTCACACTGAGCTGTGAGCGCCAGAGATAGAGCTAATGAGCTCTGTGCTATCAGAATAAAAAGGGGTGATTAACGGAGCGTGGGACGCCCTGCAGAGGTTGGAAGTCTATCTCTGACATCATAGACTCAAACCATGATACAAGCTGCTGCAGGGAGGGGACCACTTTTCATCATAAATTAAAAGGTACTACTACTAACACTTGCTAACATGCAACCAGAGTGTTGGAAACATTAACATGTTGACCTGATGATGGCGCTAGATGAAAAGTCAGAGGATCACCAAAGGTATTGTAGTTCATCCTTTATTAAAGTATTACTGTACATTGTTTAAAACAACATACACGCAGAGGCCATACAAGGAAACGCATCAAGCTAAGGGAGCACTTACAAAATCCAACTGAATTAGCCTCCAAACCCTTAACTAAATTTTAAATGCTCTAATAGGGATCAGCTTATCTAGCTGCATAACTGTCTGCAAGTGGGTCCAGGTTGGACGGAGGCCAAGAACATAAAAGCCTAACCCTAACCCATTTCAGTGAGTCTTAGGGGCATAAGTAATTTGAGCACAAACAATAGTTACTGGTTAAAGATACCTGTTAAGGGTTTAGCTATAAAATCAGATGCAAGTTTATGTAGCCCACCTCACTCAACTCTAATTTTGTCTCAGGTTTGCCATATCATACATCTTCACATCTGATTACCTTTGCATGGGAGGTGAATTGGTGAAAGCTACGTGAAATTTTTAAGTGGGAATATGTGTACTTTAACAACATGCACTTCAGGCATATGACTCTGACTGGGTTGCAAAGAGGCCGAGCTAGCTTATTTTATAGCTATGTTATTATTGTTACTGTGAGCTGGAACTTCCATGCACTCTTTAACAACAATAGCCCTTATTTCAACACCTTAAACACATTATCCTTAACATGAATGAACATTAATCAAACCACTGCGATTGATCGCAATATTAATTCACCTTTATTACATTACCTTTGATAAAAAAGGCTTGGTGACTCAAAACAATAAACCAAATAATAGAACCCGGGATTTTTCTTTACTCAGTTCTCTGTTGGTACCATATATGTTGGCGCGCTGTTGGAGCTCATTTAAGCCTTGCAAATAATGTCTGTAATGTCACTCACGGTTGCTTAGGAAACTCCAAAAGTTGGGACTTCTGTCTCTCTAACCCTGTATCGCGCTCCGAACTGGGCAATGAAGAACTCCTTGTAGAGTCCTTAGGGTGCAGGATTTTCTCCTCTGATGTAACGTGGCGGTCAGTCAGCACCGCGGCTGCTTCCATGAAGGGTAGCCGTCTCCCACAGTCGAACAACAGTTCCCCTCACGCACGTGTCTTCTCTTCACTCCGCTAGCTGCAGTGCTAGCACGCTAACAACAGTTTAACATGTGTGTTCTTCAACTTCAGAATTACGGCGTAAACAGTCCAAATACACAAGTTGTTCCTGCGTCCGGTACCTCTAACACCAAATCTACCCGGTTTCTAACTCTTAACTGCGACGAAATTTAAACATTTAACACAACTAATAACAAGCGCTCAACTTTGCTGTATCGTTCACCTCTCTCTCGCTCTCAGAATCGTTTTTTGCCCCTCTTCCGCTCAACCCCCCCTCTTAGGACCTGATAGGTTGCCAACAACATCTCTAAGTAATCACTGACACACCTGACTATCGAATAAACAGTGAATTATATGGACATGAGAGATTCAAGAACTACAATACTACTACTACTACTACTATAAATGGGACATTTCAACATTTTACCAACTTAGAAATTACTCCATATTAATGCACAGTTAAAACTATTACACAGCAATGATAAATTTAACCTGTCCATGTCTCAATTTACCCTGTACATTTGTTACTGAAATAAACATTATATAAACCAAACTAGCAGGGTGCTACATTTAAAAAGTATGGTTCTGGATTATCTGGACCTGCAGATTTTTGAGTGTCCAGCAAAGGAAGAGCTCTGTGAACTTCTCCAACAGAAATGGGAACAGAATAAAAAGGCTGACTATAGAAAATACATGTCTGAGGAAGGCAGGGTTTTTGCAGGCAGGGACAGGTTCACCAGGGAAGTGCTAGTTCACGCTAATGCTGGCACTAGAGGACAGGTCAGGGGATCAGGATCCATAGGATTCATTGTCTGGGAACCATGAATGTCTTTACAAAATCTTGTGAAAGTCCATGTAGTAAATGTTAGGATATTTCACTGTATAAATATATAAAGTTTGACCTTGATGGTTTTGCTAGATGATCCTGTTATCCTGACCATGAAAGTAGTGCTGTGTGTCTTCTGCAGTGTGGCTCAAAAGTCTTCCTGTGGATTTATCCCACTCAGTTTTTGTAAAGGAATATTGAGTATGCAGGTTTAAATTAAGCCCTGTAGAATAAATAATGTGTTTGGCATGTATAACAGAAGAACATTTGCTTTAGCTGCGTTTCGACGAAAGGAACTATACCACGGATTTAGGAACCTTTGGAGGAACTCACTGCGTTTCCACCAGTGGCACTAGGGTCTAAAGCCACTTTTCCACTGCATAGTACCAGCTCGACTCGCCTCGACTCTACTCGCCTTTTTTTGGTTTTCCATTGCGGAGAAGTTGTACCTGTACCTGCTTCCAGGTCCTTTTTTCGTATCACCTCCATCGAGGTTCCAAGCGAGCTGAGGCGATACTAAAATGTGACGTGAAAACACAGTAGACTGCTGATTGGTCAGAGAGAATCGTCACTATTCACTGCATCATCATTGCAACAGAGTTTTATATTTTACAGTTTTCATACTTTATTTAATCTCTAAATCCACTTCTGAGAGGTTTTGAGGTGAGAAATTCAGAATTTTTTTAATGTATGAATACTAATAGGGCTGCCCCCTAATCGTCAACTAAAACATTAGTCGATGAGAAAAGTCTTGGTCGAACAAGTTTTCATTGGTCAGTTGCAGAAAAAAAAACAATGTCATAAACGTGCAACTAATGGTTTGAACTAACAACTGCTGGTCAACTAGGAAAATCAGCAGCCCTCATTACTGAGCGTAGTCCATTCTTGAAAGCTGCCAATGCATTCATGACTTCATGGACGAAACAGCCCACAGATTTACTCACTTAGGTGCTACTATTTTGACAGGGTTACCCAGAAGATTAAGGTCAACTAATCTCCTTTGGAGTGGAGACACAGAGGCAGCCCTTGATTTGTTACAGGATGATGTCCTCGTGGCAGATCCAGGCACCAAGTAAGACTCCTTTTGCTTCCTGTGTTGCTCTATTTTTGACTGTGATAACTTTAGACTAGGGGGTTGATGTCTGTGTATAGAACAAGGACCCTTATTATTAGGTATTTTGTATGCATCTGTAACATTGCTGTCTCTTTTCAATCAGATGTCACTACAGCAATGTTGCTTTTTCCCTATTGGCCAACGCCTTGGCCCAGAAGGTGACTGGCTCAAACTTTGAGAGCTGGGTGTCAGAAAATGTTCTGGAGCGGCTCAGCATGGAGGACACTGGTTTCAACATAACTCCAGTCATTCAGAGGCAGATGGCTGTGGGCGTGTACAGCAATGGCCAGCCGGCTCCCCTTTACAACCTCGGCTGGTATCGACCTGCAGGTCAGATGTATTCCACCGCAGCTGACATGGCCAAGCTCATGATGGCTCTTCTGGGTGCTTATGGTGGGACCCTGCTCCGCCAGGACACCCTAAAGACCATGCTGACCCCCGTTTTCCGATGCCACAGCAGCTACTTTGCCAACTTCACTGGCACACCGTGGGAGATCAACGAGCAGTTTGGCTATGATGTGGTGAGGAAGGACGGGGACTTGGATGGCTATGCTGCCACCTTCTCCATGGTGCCACGGCTCAAGCTGGGACTGGTGGTCCTGATGGCCGGAGTTCGGCCTACAGACCAGGACCTTGTGAGCCAGGCCTACAGCTATCTAATCCCTGCACTGGAGAGCGCTTTTAGGAATGCTCAACGAACTCTCACACCGCCACCCGACCCAGCTCCATATGTGGGCTTTTTCACTTACAGGAATATGACTTTCTATGAGATAAAGGTGGACTCAGACGGGGTACTGGTCATGCAGCAGTTTGGACCACAGGTGGACACAACTGTGCCGTCCAAGTACCGAACTATTCGGCTGGATTACCTGCAGGACAGGGTGTTCAGGGTGGTGTTTGAGAGCCCGTACCCTTGCAAGCTGAAGGTTAACAGTGCCTCGGTCTCCCTGGAGGCACAGGACAGACAACTCTTCAACTTTTACGTCTTCAGCAAGAAAGGTGTGTCACCAGGGTTTGATTCCCCAGGACTCAACACTTACAGGGTGACAAGGATACCTGGCAGACCATTCTTTACTTCATAAAGACAGGAATTCAACTTAGAACAAGGTCACTCTAAGAGGGTACAGTCGAGGACGAACCCAGTGGGAACTTGAATATAATAAAATACATGGCATGGCAGTTTTGGACTGTTGGGTTAGTGAACATGTGTGGTCAGTGTCATGAAATTCTCTCTTGCAAATTTGATTAATCTGCACTTGTATTTTAATATTATTATATATACCTCTGCTCACCTCTGCTCATAATATATATTATATAATTTAGTCTTGTCCAAATGTCCAAAGGAATCTTTGAAAGTTATTCTTCTGCAAAGTAACTAGCATAAGCAAAGCAAAACTGATGTATTATGTTTACTGTAAGTAAACAAGTAAGTAAGTTTGCTATGATGTGTTTGGTTAATGGACAATGTGGCAGTATTCCTATTTAACCTCTAAGTGCCTTGAATGTGACTTAAGAGGGGAAAAACAACTGATTGAAGTTGAAGTGGTCAAGCTTTTGAAGATCCAGATCCACCAGTAAATCAGGTAAACCTGTTGAGTATATTTCATGAAGAGCAAATTCTATATACCGTATATGTATATAAATATATATGCTAATAAAACTCATATTATATAATATATAATAATATAAGTGTTTATTAAATGTTATTATATCATAAATAAGTGAAAATGACACGTAAACATCAGTCTAAATGCATATTTTCTACATTGCTAGACAAACAGTTAACACTGAGGTGACAAGAAAAATATCCATTGAACAAACCTGCAATATATATACAACATGAGAAACTCTTTCAATACAATATAATAACCATTAAAGTGTTACCAAAACAAAGGTATCGTTTAATGCAGGTTCATCTGTTGCATCATTTACATTGTACAGTGGTTCATCTTGGGTCAAGGTGGACTCAACTACACTCTGGACAATTTCAGGGAATTAACTTCAACACCATTTTTAGTTTTATCAAAAACAAGTTTTGCCTCCCCTTGATCCAAGGTCATAGTTAAAGGTTAAAATCCAGGTTAAAATCAAGCCTTCCTTGGATAACTACGACCTGGATGACAAAGAATCCTCACAGACAGTTTTGTCAGGTGAAGTCCCTAATAATTAAAAAGGAGCAGATGGGACTTTTTAGTATAAATTCCTCCAAACTTAAATGTAAATGTATTTGGTTTTAAAGCTGCATTAATGTTTTTTGGCCACTTGGGTGCAACAGAACAAGCTGTAAACACAACTTTATAAGATGATATATCAGATGTTGTGTTTACAGCTTGTTCTGTTGCACCCAAGTGGCCCAGAAGGTGACTGGCTCAAGTCACCTCAGGTGAAGATACCAACGATGGTTGTTCAGTCTTGGCCACAGGTAGTCTTAACGACTGTAACGACTGTCGTCACAGCAACAAGGAACACTAACGAACCAGCGGTATCGATGACCCGGGATAACGACCACACTGAGGTTAAATAGCTGAGTTTCCCTGCCAATCAGTCAGAACTGAAGAAGTCCTTTGGATGAGGGACGAAACGTCTTCCAGTATCTTCAACCAAGTCCAGTTGCCCTTGATTTTAACCTTCATTGGACTGCTCTCAGAAAGAAACAGACAGTTTTGCAGTTGCATTATACATTTGAAGGTTGTATTCAGGCGGTCAAATGGACGTGAAAAAAATTAAAGATAGAAGCTAAAACCTATCGATCACACAGTACAAGTGAACCACCGCGTTGGGGGACAATGATTGAGACAAAAGACAACGCTCAACACTGTTCCTGTAAAGCAGGGTCGGCCTCTGTTCATTATTACAATCATTAAAAATCAGAACAATAGGGCTTTATTATGTTGCATCCAGTAGGAAGTTAGCTAGCAAGGGAGCGCATCCATGAAAGTGTCGGACCACAGTTAGAGCGAGTCCTATACTGTGCAATGATTGGCCAGTTGTGTATTCGGGGCGTGGCTTAGCAAAGGGTCAATTCCTGTGCAATAACCCAGTAATCAGAAGGAGCTTTATTGCCAAGTAGTGTTTTACACATACGAGGAATTTGCTGTGGTGATAAGGTGCTACTCGTAGACAAACATACAGTTGACATAAATAAATGTAGAAATATATAAATATGGAATGGAAGAACAACGTTGTAGATATATATACATGTGCATTATTCTGGGTCTGTGCCGTGCAGAAGTAACGTAACGGAAGAGAATATTGTGTACATATATATATAAACTGACAACATAAAAATATACAACAACAAAGATCAACAATCAACAACAAATATGTGCGAGATGAAACAGTATTTACATGTGCAGAGACATTTGCATCATTTGCAAGAGTGTGGAGGGATTATTGGGTCAGAACTAAAACTAAAAGTCGAAATCGAAAACTAAAAGTCGAAATCAAAAACTAAAAGTCAAAGTCGAAAATGAATTTGGTATTTAGGATTGGGCATTTAGTCATTTAGGATTGGGGATTTGGTATTTAGGATAGGGCATTTTGTATTTGGGATTGGGCATTTGGTCATTTAGCCTTTTCGCCATTTCGCCATTTCGGATTGGGCATTTGGTCATTTAGCCATTTAGCCATTTAGGATTGGGCGTTTGGTCATTTCGCCATTTCGCCATTTCGGATTGGGCATTTGGTCATTTAGCCATTTAGCCATTTCGGATTGGGCATTTGGTCATTTAGCCATTTCGCCATTTCGGATTGGGCATTTGGTCATTTAGCCATTTCGCCATTTCGGATTGGGCATTTGGTCATTTAGCCATTTCGCCATTTAGGATTGGGCGTTTGGTCAATTAGCCATTTAGCCATTTAGGATTGGGGATTTGGGGATTAGGGGATTTAGGATTGGGGTTTGGGGGATTTAGGATATGGGGATTGAGGATTTGGGGATTGAGGATTGATTCGTGTATGCAAATAAGGAGGCGTGACCCAAAGCCTGCAGGGATGGTTTGGAACGGCTGAGGCGCAGAGGTACTTTATGGACTGCAGGGGGAGCTCTGACTGCCAGCACACTGCCATGAAAGCAAGCAGAGGAAGTGAGCAGGGCTGGAGGGATAATACCATAACTGAAAGTGTACAGCATTTCTGTCCATGTGGCCTCAAACACAAAGTCAACAGTGAAAGGAGAGCTATCCATCTGACGAGAAAGCAGCAGACAGTACAGCAGGTAAGATATGATAACATTAGCAAGTTAGCTGTATTAGGCTAACTGTTGCTGACATGCATGAGTTACATTACTGTCGGTACATGCAGGTTTTAAATGCGGCTATTAACCCCGCTGTGGGCTGTGTGTATAAACTGTAAAGATAAGGTGTAGAAGCTGTGTTTCTGGGTAATAGCACCATGCTGGGCAGGTGACAGGTGTGTGTTTACAGTGTTTGTGTGCTCTGAAAAACATAACAGCGCAGCTATAAAGTCTCAGCCGGCAGACCTAGTATAGTATTATTACTACATACATATGGATGTAACGTTGAGGCCTGATAGACATCCGCTAATCAGAAACAGAGGACACTACCTGCATCACTGCGGATGTCATTTGACCAGGGAGTGAATGGTGATTAATGCGATTGACATCATTGTTTTCCTAGTGTTTGTTTTTGCCCCATGCTCAGCTACATCTACACACCTGCACTGGGTTGCACTAGCTCTGTATTATGTGAGGTTAATGGGTTCTTAGGTTCATAACACAGGCAACCCTTTACATATTGTTTAGAGTGTAGCAGTGTTGTTTGTTTTTTTGTTTCTTCATGTATTGTTTTGTCATACCTTTGCTTTTTGGTATTGTTTAATTATGTATTGTGCTCCAGTGTCCTGTACACAAGCAGGGCATTGTTAAAAAGAAAGTGTTAGATCCCACTTTTACCACAAGAGGGAGTATACTGTTAATGAGTTATGTTAGGAGCAGCCTCAACAAGGCAGTTCTGACCCTGCTCATAACAATGGACCAATCTGTTTGTGTATGTTGCAGGTATTTTGCAAGCAGATGTAATATATGAACAGAACATACACAAGTAAGTAGACATAAATAGTCCATGTATCATCCGCTTAAGACCTTGTGGTGGTACAAAAATTGTGTCTGTAAAGCCTGTAACATGACTGTACATGCAGCTGTAATAAACAGGAGCTACAATACAAATCTGTATAATGTAGGAGTTGTGCCAAATGTTTTCCTTTATTGGTATACTGTTAGTGAGTTATGTGAGAAGCCTCAACATGGCAGTGCATTTCTGTAACTTAACGTGAGTCTGAACTGACCATGCTGATAACAATGTTTCGTTATGTATGTAGCAGATTTTAGTAAAGATATTCCAAGCTACACATGGAATAGTTTTCCCAGTGTCGAGTTTTCACTTTGAAGAGTTTTTATTCAGATGTGCAACAATTACTTCTCTCCTAAGTTCGAGCATAAACTCGACACTAGAGGCTTAGTAACTGCTTATTAGATTTGAACAAAAACAGTAACAAAAATTGGTTGCACCATGATTAACGTTGGGTATGGACTAAATGGAGTTCCAAAGTCTTTGAACATCTACAGATAGTCTTCAAAATGCATGTAAAATAGAGTCCACGACCATCTCCACTGTCTTCTGAGTGTTGAGCTCCAGACTGGCTGCACCAGGTCACCAGATGTAGGCGGACTCATTCCCACCTGAGATGAGCCCAATGAGGGTGGTGTCGTCCGCAAACTTCAGGAGCTTGACAGACTGGTGACTGGAGGTGCAGCTGTTGGTGTACAGGAAGAAGAGAAGGGGGGAAATAACGCAGCCTTGAGGGGATCCGGTGCTGATGGTCCTGGAATCAGAGACATGTTTGCCCAGCTTCATGTGCTGCTTCCTGTCCGTCAGGAAGTCTGTGATCCACCTGCAGGTGGAGTCAGGCACGCTCAGCTGGGAGAGCTTGTCCTGTCTTTAGTCTCTCTGAGTACAGTCGTTTAGCTTCTCGCACCTCCTTGCTAAACCTGTACTTTAACGGCCTGCACCCGGCTGTGTCACCACTCCTAAATGCATCCTCCTTTTCCAACCTTAGCTGACCGAGTTTAGCTGTGAACCAGCGTTTGTCATTGTTATAACTCACCCTGGTGCGTGTTGGAATGCAGCTGTCCTCACAGAAGCTGATGTAGGACGTCACAGCCTCTGTAAACTCATCCAGATTGTTGGTAGCCTTCTTAAAAACATCCCAGTCAGTGCAGTCCAAACATGCCTGGAGGTCCTCCACAGCTTCACTGGTCCACTTCTTTGATGTCCTCACTACAGGTTTACAGAGCTTTAGTTTTTGCCTGTAAGCGGGAATCAGATGGACCATCACGTGATCAGAGTGTCCCAGTGGAGCGCGTGTGACGGCGTGAGAGGCACTGCTAACTGTGGTGTAGCAGTGATCCAAAGTGTTCCCCTCTCTGGTTGGACACTTTATAAACTGTCTGTATTTGGGGAGTTCTTGGCTGAGATTTCCTGTTAAATTCACCGAGAACAATAACAAGGGAGGCCAGGTTTGTCTGCTCCACACACAGTAGCCGGTCGGCCAGCATGCGCTGTGCGTCGTGCACGTTGGCGTGCGGTGAGATATAATGGGGTGGTGATGGCGCATAGATAAGATGCTTGCCTTTGGTGTGGGAGACCTGGGTTCAGTTCCCACTGTGAGACATCCACCATTGTGTCCCTGAGCAAGACACTTAACCCCTAGTTGCTCCAGAGGTGTGCAACCTCCGAGATGTATAACAATTGTAAGTCGCTTTGGATAAAAGCGTCCGCTAAATGAATAAATGTAAACACCGACCAGGGAGTAAAACAGTTTACAGTTAATGATAAGAAATTCCAGATTAGGAGAACAGTGCTGCTCATCACACTGTGTACATGTATGTGTATGTGCACCTGTATATCTCATCTACCCCAACATGTACATCATGATAATAATAATTTACTCCTGCATCCTTTGCACTCTGCTCATTGCACTATTGTCTCAATCTGTCTGTTTTGTTTATAGTGTGTATATGTGTTCTCTATACTGTAGTCTGTGTTTGATTTTATTACTGTATTATTGTGTAAGTAAGCACATCGTGAGCATTGTACAATCCAGAGTCAAATTCCTCGTATGTGTACACATACCTGGCAAATAAAGCTGATTCTGATTGCTAGCTTGTTCTGGGCTAATGCTCTTCTTCGGTAAAAGGAAGGTGAATGAAACTAAACCTGAAATTATTTAGTATTGTTAAGAGGTTGTGTGGTGTGGGGACAGAGAGGACCCAAATGCAGCACTCTGAGGGAAGGAGGTTTATTGAGGGAAAAAGGGTGAGAGGGACTGGAGTGGAGGGAGAGGAGGATGTCGGGGAAACACAGGCACAGGGAACCAAGGAGCCTGGGGGCCAGGGAGCTGGGGAACACTGGGGCCGAGGAAGCGAGGAGGGGTGGGAGAACAGGGAGGACGCCGTGGGGGAAGTCTGAGGAGGATGAGCCCAGCCGACTGAATGGAGGACGAGGGTGAGTGTACCTGGGAGGGAAACAGAGAGACAGGGTTAGAGATGACAGAGACAAAGCACGGGGGAAATGTGAGAAAAAAACAAGAAACATGAGAGCCTGTACGTGGAGGTGGCACTGGGTATGGAGCAACAACGATCAAGCGAGGATGGTGTGGAGAACCGGGGTTGAAATACAGGCAGGGATGAGGTAATTACTGGCAGGTGTGGCAGGCTGACGAGGTGGCTGATGAGGTGGCTGATGAGGTGCAGGTAGTTGGCTGGGCTCAGGAGCAGAGGGAGAGAGAGAGAGAGCACACAGGGGAGAAAACACAGGGAGGCAGGCAGGGAACAGAAAACCAAGGAAAAAGCAGAATAACTGATAAGGAGAAAAAAACCAGGACACTCACCGTCAGCTGGGCTGCCACCACACAAATAGTATTATGTGTTTTACAGGAACACAGTGTGAATGCTGAGCAGACAGCTGTGGAGAGCTTTTCCCATGCAGAGAAAATAACAACCTGTCAGAGCTGATCTGAAGCCACTTTATCAGGTGTGTATGTGTAAAGTACTCTATCAGCAACATAAATATAAAACAATACCCATAATTTTCCACAGTTCCAAACAACAGTGCAGCTATTATGGAATCATAAAGAGCTCCTGCTGTTTTTCATTCATTAACTACCCTTCAGGGGTGGTTTTGCTTTGATGGCATTTGGCAATGCCATATTTGCCAGTAGCCTATTATTTTTACCACAGGTGAATGACTTTGCATATTCCGCAATATTCAGCACTACATCACATGAAAATACAGGTGTAAATGGACTCGGGATGCATTGAGGACAGATTGTGATCTGATCAACAAAACCACCTCTGGAGGTGGTCAGGCACAACATAACTACATGGAGGCAAATGCGTTGTTTATCCACCTACAACTACTTGGGCGGAAATATGTACCGGCCGCATTCTCCTTTAAATAAAAGAGTCAGCACAGACAGGCGCCTGGATAGTGAGTCCATACAACGTGCTCAAACAGTGCCGATCATCGATCATGCTCATGTTTTGGGTGAACTGATCGTAAATGTAAATGCTCCGTACTTGTATAGCGCCTTTCTAGTCTTTTCGACTACTCAAAGCGCTTTTACACTACATCTGCATTCACCAGTCACACACACTGAGCCTAAGTGCTCAAATGGAAACTAACATTCACTCTCACTCATACACTGGCGGAATAGCCGCCAGGGGCAAATCGGGGTTCAGTATCTTGCCCAAGGACACTTCGAACCGCCGACCTTACGATTAACGGCCAACCCGCTCTACCTCCTGAGCCACAGCCGCCCCGTGTCCGTTTGCGAACATGAACTCATGCTAGGGCTGGGCAATAAAACAATGATAATTCAGAACTGAAGAAGTCCTTTGGATGAGGGATGAAACGTCTTCCAGTATCTTCAACCAAGTCCAGTTGCCCTTGATTTTTAACCTTCGTTGGATGACTGAGAATCATCATAGACAATAATGATAATTATCACAATATAATTTTCCTCAAACAAGATAACAAATTTTCAATAAATACCCTATTTGATTTAATTAATTTGGATCACAACAAATTAGCACTTTATTTTCTATTAAGATTTATTTTGTTGAGGAAAAGGGACTGAAAAAAGATTGTAGGCTATTTCATTTTAATTTTGCATAGCCTATTTGTTGTTTTGAATGTTCTACTCTTGTAGAAGTTTAAAAGTACAATTTACCATCTGGTTTCTTCAACTTTCACTCAGGTGCAAAAATCAGCCTTTAAACTTATAGTAATAAAAACAATGATTAAATAATGATTGACTTTTATAGTGAAGTTTTTATTAACATTTTTGGCCATATCGCCCAGGCTTAACTCATGTAACCTACTGCTGTGTTAAACCAAAGTCCTTGGATAAACTTAATATAAACTACTAAAAAAACAGAAAACAATAGCCTACACATTGTAAAGAAAGGCAGCAAAAAAACAATGCGGGCCCAAACTTAGATTTCACTTTCCGGCCGAAATAATACATGGGCGCACCGCTAAAAAGAGAGAGAGAGAGGAGCCTAATCCATGGAGGAAAACAAGTCCCAGCGAAAAGAGACACTTTAGAAAGTTATTTTAACCTGTGGTTAGGCTATAGCCTTGATCATTTTTGGACCTGCGCAAATTTGAGGATGTGATGTTAGGTTGTTTGAGCCAGACAGATCGATCGGATCTTCCTTCAACCACTTTAAACTTGCGTCTCCCAATCTTGCAGCCACAACTGACTATGAAATGTGACGTGATGCCAGACGTCAACGTCTGCAGCTAATGCAAACGTAAAATGTCCATTTTCCCACTAGCCTTAAACGCACCATCTGCAAATTTAATACCTACAGTATGGTAAATTTAAGACAATTTAAGACCTTTTCAGACTTTATAAGGAGCCGCGGGAAACCCGATAATGTCATAAAGTGCTGTCCCGTTCCTGTTTAGCATTTAGAGCCCTTGCAGCCCATCGAACTCAATCACTCACCAGGTGACGTCAAATAAGTCGTGAGTGTTTAGGGGGACATTGAGATTGGGCCAGAGCATTGCAGGCCTACAGAGATATCTTTCTGTTGATAATAGTAGTTCATGTTTTAAACTAAAATTCTGGTCCTACACACTACAGATTTAACGTTGTTTTGGTTTTTACGACCTGAAACTTTCCTGCTGAACTCGGTCACTTCGTCTTCAGTGATTGGCTGACAGGTCATGGGTTTGGATCATATGCTGTCAAACTAATATGGGTCTAAATTCTAACCCATCCGCCATCAAAAACTGCTTTTGTGAAGACCTTCCCGTGAAAAAGCTCTGAAGTCGCTGTGACTCCTGTAAACGGCCAGGTGCTTTATCTGAGCTTAATCAGCTGTTCTCAGCAGGTCACACACAGGAATTCTTTCTGTATAGCATGTAAGTGGGTTTCATATTTCTGGAATCAAGAAATTAACCTGATCTAGGCTGAACTGTTGACAGTGAGGCACCGCAGTTGACTTCACACTGGAATTTATTGCAACGGATTCAACGTGAAGGTTCAAACAAGGTTAATAAAAACCGTACTGAACAGTTAGGACAGACTGCTGCCCATCATCAGTGCTACAGTGAGTGTCTTCACCCTGTGGGGAGCACTGGGATCACAGGTTAATTACTCATCTGCTTCCGTTCAACATCCAACTGTAGAGAAACGCAGTTTGTGTTCCAGGCCCCATTTCCTCATTTGTATTTATTCATTTATAGTTTATCTATCTATCTATCTATCTATCTATCTATCTATCTATCTATGCCATTTCATTTTCTATGATTTGCTGAAACATGAAACTAGTTTCTGAAAGCTTGGAATGATCATAGATTCACTAGCAGGGCTTTGTTTTAGAAATCCTGTCAATGTTACTGATAATTACCAATATCTTTTTAACAGTGCAGTTTAACTTTTTGCAACAGACAGACAGAGGGCGCCAAAGCTCTTCCATAAACAGTCCTGTGTCACACATTCACTCACTCTTCTCAAGAATACTCGCCATGGCGTTGGAAAGTGTTTGTGCACTTATGATAATATTGACTGCAGGAAATCATCAACGTAATCCCCAAAGTATAGAGACACGAATATTTTACTATTTGGCAAAAGCTCAAGGATGTATGAAGGTGAGGGAGAGAGCGGAGTGGGCGTGGCCTCGGCTAGTCACATTTTCTGGATCATGACCTGGAATTTACCTAAAGAGACATAAAGAGAAGAAAGCGTGTCAGGACACACCTTATTTTATTCACAGCACAGATCACCTCACAAAACTAATCCAACACTCCACTTGCTGGTGACAACAGATGTGCTGGTTGAAAGTTCTTGAAAAATAGTTGAGTTTTTGCCATTTTACAAACTGCCGTCTGCTTACTTCCTGTCAGCTCTACAGTAACACTAGCTTCTCCTTACAGATCTGTTTAATCCTCATTTTATTTACAGCCAGGCTAGCTGGGCTGTAACAGATGTGCAGTTCGTAACATGGATATACATCACCCCTCTGAAGATGTCTCTGATTGGATAACGGAGGAGTGACATCGTCTTACATGCGGGCATGATGGACACCTCAGCGGTCACAATACTCTTCACTCCCAGGTTGGACAGAGCTCCTCTCACCAGGCCACAGGTGAAGGACAGGTACTGCAGAGAGACAAACAGTCAGGTGAGGAGTCCTGACGGATGTACACGCTGCCACCAGCGAGATCATCCTGATTAACCTGCTGCTCTGCGCACACAACAAGCTGCAGAGTGTCAGTGAATTATTAAAGTGCATCTGAACTTGTGTTAATCCAGTTTTCCACCGTATGGTACCAGCTTGATTCCACTTGCCTTTTTGAGTTTTCCATTGGGAAAATTGGTACCCGGTAGTTTTGTTTTTTTTTTGGTATCCCGTCCGTCGCGGTTCCACGCGAGCTGAGGCGATCCCAAAAGGTGACATGAAAAAACTGCAGACTGCTGATTGGTCAGAGAGAACCTAGAATAATAACCTTGATAGCAGCGGGTGTGTTTACAGCTGAGCTGCTAACGTTAGATCAGTTTAACTGCTCAGTTTGTTTTTAGTTCACAATTCCTTCGGTGTTGACCATTCAGGAGGTTTCTACCAAGAGCCAACACTCTGCGTCAGGGAGCTGACCTCCTGACAGGAAGAGCTGTTGGCTGGAAATATTTTAACATCAGTCTGATGTAAAACACATAGAACACACCAGAACTTTTAATCTTTATTCATCAGGCCATGCTGTAGGACTGGCGCTGCCCCAGACCTGCCATGTTTTTATGTTTGTGTTTCTTTGTTCCTTTCTCTGTGCTGGAGCTCTTTAAAGAACTTTATTCCACCTTGTTTTCAGTCCATGAAAAGAAATCTCTCCTGTGGTTCTTCACCATCGCTGTTCTTCGTTCATATCTAGTACAACTTTCTTTTTTAGCTGAATCTTCTGCAGCTACGGAGAAGACAATCTGCTTCCTGTTTATACTGGCACGCACATGCCCATTCTAGTGTGGATTTTTTCAAGGGGGTACTGTCTGCAATTAAAAACAGAGGACGGGCACTAAAACGGTTCAAGGTGAGTCAAGCTGGTACCATGCAGTGGAAAAGGGGCTTTCAACTCTGTGGACTGTGAAGCTGCTTCATGTTGGAATGAATGACTGTTTAAAGGAATGAAATCAAGGCAGAGCACCTTCGGGGCTTGTTCCAGATACTGCTTCCCGGCTGACAGTTGACTCAGTAACCGGAACTTGTTGTCCTGGAGAACATAGATGCCCTGAAACACACAACAACATCAACACTGACAGACAGCAACAGAGCAGAAAACAAACAACATACAAAGTGTGTTTAACCCGAAATGAATTATGTCCCACAATGCATTCTGCTGACGTGAATGATAGAGCTTGAGGTTACCTGGTGGTTGGTTCGAAGGTTGTCGATCTGCTTCTTGAACACGCAGGTCCAGAAGTCTTTACAAATGAACTTCATGATGTCCAGCTCGTCTTTGAATCGCACCGTGTCTTTGGTCAATCTACAGAAGAGAAGAGCTGTGAGCTTCACCCTGTAAGTACGGCTGGTTTCAGTCTTAACATCACATTTACTGACAAGAAGGAAAATATAGTACAATATTCTGATTCTGTAAGTTTGCATTTGTTGTTGCATTAATGTATTTCAGATGTTTATTCAGTGTAACGCATCCTGTTGGTCCCTTTAAAAGGTGATAATAAAGTGAAATGTAAATGAAATGAAGCTGTGTGGCTGCCCACGGTGGGACAGCTGGTTACCTCTCTATCAGCCCCTGGCCGACTCTGAACCCCATATTCTCCAGTTTGGTGATATTTCTTCCATTCTCCTGAGGGGAGGACAAGAGTTGAGCAAACACATGAACTGTTCACAGAGAGGGAAACTCGGGCTAACAGACAGTTTCTTACCGTCTCTCCGTTTTCGGATGACTTGTAAATGTACTGGATCATTTCGTTATGTAAAAACTGGAAGGGAGCTTCGTCTGCCATCCTGCTTCCTCTGTAGCCTTTGGTACTATCTGAAGGTACTAACAGCAGCTAACGTTAGCTGCAGCGGCTAACTAACGTTAGCTCAGTGTAGCGGCGGCTGGTTTACCGGGCCTCTCACAAGGGGACCGGCATCACAAACACACAGAGACCCGAGAACAGGGGGCCTTTCTCATTTCCCAAATTTCTTTCTCCTCGATTCTCGAGCGTGTGACCCGGAAATTGATCTCAGTACGCCATCTTGAAGGACACCTCAATTCTTAAAATGCACATCGAGAATGGAGGAGGCTTGCTGAAGGAGCTACAAGCGAGGATACAACAGTGTATCCTTTGCGGAAGTCTTTTCAGCCGCTGTGATGTTTACAAGAGGCGTGACAAGCAGCTGGACCGACCCACAGCCGGAGCAGCACGCTGCAGTGTTCCTCCTGTATTCATAGGTTCTTCTTCTTCTTCTTTTGATTTGATTGGCGGTTGGCAGCCAGCATTTAGGAGCATTACCGCCACCTACCGGACTGGAGTGTGGAACAGATTATGTGCAGACTAACATAATAAACAAATAGAACAAAAAACAAACAAAAATTACTACTATAATAACTATATCCTTTCCATTAATCCCGTATCTTTCAGATATTTAATGAGATGCTTTGATATTCCCCATGCTTTATCCCCAAGGAGGTTCTCGACAGTGAACCTAAGCTCAGCTTTCTTTACAACTGCTGCTATTTTCCTCCTCGCCTCCACACTCAACCAGCACATGTTGAATGGTCTCTATACTATTAGATTTTACACAGTGTCCAGTTGGGTGTTTACCTAGTTTATAAAGTGAATGGTTAAGCCCTGTCTGTCCTATTCTTAGACGGGTAATGACTGTCTCTGTCTTCCGGCACCCACCCAGTTTTCTTTCCAGACCAACATGATTCTGTATACTGTAAAGATGTCTTCCAGTTTCATTTAGTTCCCAGTATTCTTGCCATATTTTTTTTTTGCACTTTCTCTTTAATGATTGTTTTAGCTTCAGATTTACTTAGCGGAACTTGTATATCAACTGACTGATTTAAGTGCTTGTTTTGCCAGAATATCAGCATCTTCATTTCCTTCTACCCCTACATGGGCAGGAACCCAAACAAAGCAGACAGTCCAGCCCTTATGATATAATCTACATAGAGAGCTATGAATACTAAATACCAGATCCAGCCTACAGGACTTGTACTCATAAGTTGTATTAGTTAAGCCTATTAAAAAGAATCAAATGCGCGATCAAATTTTCTGCCCTTCATCGTAAAGCGCCCTCATAAAGCGCTGTTCTAACAGCATTCCTTAATGTCATTTCACTTTGATATCACTGATGTTATTGTTGAATGTGATGTGTGGGTGGGCAGCAGCGTAGTAAAAATAAACAGTACATAGCGGCTGGATGAAGCGTCTCTCCAGTGACACAGTGCGCATTTACGCACGAGCCACAGCAACATAAATTAATAATAATAAATCTCCCGACACGCCGAGAAGATCTGATGTTAATTCATGTACTGTGTTCTTCTTCACATGCAAACGGTCTCACACAGAGTCCAGTTTCATACAGTAAAAGTGTTTGCAGTAAAGCAGCCGTCCTCCTGATCAATCCTCCAGCAGTGTCTTAACGTGGATTATAGAAGCTGAAAGTTTAATTCTGTTTCCTCTGTCCTATTTGTCTCGTGATATTTGCTGTGACATTACTGCACGGATGGAAACGTTTAAATGACTGACAGCAGCCTCTCTAATCATCAAAGTAAATCGTTAAAGATAACACTCATAGTAGTTACAACACACAAGAAAGAAATCACCTGGAGCTGCAGTGAAGGTGGAGGTGGCGGTAAAACGTCCATGCAGGTGCTGGTCTCTAAATCTGATAAAATAATTAGTTGGTGGGCGCGGGTTGGATGATCTATGCGTATAGGCCTATTTGAGTATTCCCGTTAATGTCCGAGTCGATCCGCGCATCACACCAATTCAGCTGCTATAATCCTGACAAATCTGCTGTGTTTCATCTTTTAATAACAGTGCCTATGTAGTCTGCACAGGTCATTCCAACAGTAGAGTCCTGTGGTGACAGTTTTAACTGGGGCTATATGAGATAAATGTTGTCATTTTGTAAAGGAACTGATGATGAAACTCTCACCTCATCAGGCAGAGGGCTGAAATGATCTAGTAGTATGAAAGGACATCTCATTTCGTTAAATGCCCGTTTCTCTCTTCTCGCGTCTCCTCCTCGTGCTCGCATCTCGGGTGGGAGGGACTAACACGCGCCGCGAGGTGTCGAGGATCGAAAAGTCGAGGGGATGGAAATTTGGGAAATGAGAAAGGCCCAGGATCTTTACAACAAACGCTCGCGGTGCTTCCTTGTTTGTTTTTGTTTTTTCCTTTTCTCTCAAAAACATTATTCAAAATTAGAACATACAGCAGGAAAACAACATCTTCTGTACATCAGTAAAGTCTATGGACATATCACAAATAGGCCAGGGAGGTCAAGGGTTATGGAGGAAAGTATAATTTTAACAAAAGCAAAAGAACAATTTAAATAAATATCTTGTAAAGCTTACAGAGGTCATATGATTTAACAGCTTTTTTGTTTGTACACTCAGATATTGAAAGAACATAGTGCTTAATGTTAGCAGCAAGCTCCAAAAAGCTTGATTTCTTTTTTAAGAATTTTGACTTGTGCAAATAAATTTGGTTAAAATAAGTAAATACTTACTTAAAATAAAGTAAATTTACCACATAATACTCTGAACATAATTTTTTGTCATATGTAGTGAATCCAAACAATACATTTTCCCACCGCAATGCAAACTGAGGGTAAATATAGACAACAATAATATGAGAAACTTTGCTCCAGAGTTTCTTGTAATGTCGGCAAGACCAAAATAAATGCACCAGTGTTTCATTTAGTTCTCCACAGACAGTACAGCTGATGTCCAAGTCTTTTTCAGTTTTTGCAGGTAATAGTTAGTGGGGTAAAACCTGTGAAGCATTTTGAATGAGATCTCTTTAACTTTGTTTGTTAAAAAAAACTTGTGTGGCAAAAGCCAAACTTTTTCCCAACAAATCTCTCCAACAAATGAGGACCAATATAATACTCCTAATGTCCTATAGAAAAAGTTGACGAATGGCCTTATTCTTACTTTTAGTTCCTTCACACCCACCAGTGTTGGGGATCATCAAATCCATTAAAACCTTTGAAAAGTGAGATGACAACTGAAGGTATCGCATCGAAGACTATGGAGAATTCCTTTGGTGAAAAATGGATACCATAGTGATGAATGAATTCAGTGTAGTTATAAAGCTGACCACGTTGGTTAAATAATTGATTTACAAGCAAAATGTTATTGTCATACTACTGTTGAAAAAAAATAGATTTGTTTTTATACAAAATATATAGGTTGTTCCAAATATAAAACCTATGAGGAGTGAAGTTGTGCTTGTAAATTAGGGACCAAGCCAGTAGCATTTGTTTATAAAACGAAGAAAGTGCATACCAACAAGAACTGGAGACCACCAACTGACGAACAGACATAATGGGAAATAAAATTCCACAGACTGGTTGAGCAATTTAAGTACCGCTTAATCCAATTAATCTTGACTGAAGCCAGTGCTGAAGCACAAGGAAGTGTGATTGTATAGAAGTCTATGAGAACATGAGGCTACTTCTCAGCTGATTTATTACCTCACTTTCCTAATGAGTTTGTGAGTTTTATATATTATACACATTTTATTAAGTAGATCTTAGTTTGTTAGAAATGCATGTTGGTCAAGCTCCTCTAACAATAAACATCTCTCATCAAACTGTCAAACAATTCTATTTGGTCTTCATTTTTCATAAATAAATCATACAAAGATTTTATACTATGTGAAAATAATTAGTTTAGTTTCATAAAACATGGAAATGACAGGGTGGACAAAGGCTTTAATGGGAGAAGTAGAGGACAGCACATAATGTGTTGAATAACAGGAAACCTTTAAGCATTATAAAGAATGATTTTTGGAATCATAAGTCCTGATAATAAGAACTTATTATTTTGTAGAAAAGAAAAATGAGTATTAAACAATTGTGTGAGTGTGAGGGAATTAAAATAAATTGGAAGGACATCAGAGTTGTATTAATATATTTCATGTTTTGTTTTTAAAAAAATTATAAATAATTATGAGAAGTGCTCTCTTTTTCACTTGAGCCCCTACCCACCAAAATGTCTGTGCACGTCCCTGGTCTCAGTCGCTAGTTTGAAGTCTTCTTCAGCACAGCATGATGTTCATTTAGTAAATTATGGTCCCATTTAGGGGAACAGAGACCAGGAAGCAGGGGAGGCTTTAGGGCGGGGCTACCTTGTGATTGACAAGTCTGTGACCTGTCAATCAGGATAGAGGCAAGTCCTATTCGCTGCTCTGTGTACATTTAACCAGCGCCACTGAAAAAGCTTATTAGGAGTCGGCTGTTCATTTTACAGGTAAGTGCGTTTCATTTTAAGCCTGTTTGTCGCTAGCCAAAATTAGCATCCCGGCTAATATCACAGTTAATGTGAACTACAGATGCACCTTGCTAACCAAGCTAGAGAGCTCCACTAAAGTGACCAGATTTATACATGAAAAAGGGGGACAATTGAGGTTTTTTAATCTGTCAAATATAACTCTTCTGAATAAAATCAAGTCATTTTGAGGCATAAATTACCTTTCAGTCAATAAGTAGAGGCTACAATCACTTTCTGGCAAGTAGAATACTGCATTTTAAGTGTTGTTTTGGTCATTCAAAGGTATTTTAAGAGGTAAAAAGTAGTTGACTTACAATCTGTCAAATATAACTTCTGGATGAAATCATTAAAGGTATTTCAACAGGTAAAAAGGACTGGATTGGTTTGTACACAGCAATTTATAACGTAGAGTCTTAAGGATAATTGCAAAAGAGATCGTGTCTTTATTTTACATATAACTCAGCAGTAAGTCATGTTAATTATTGGCCACAGTCTGTTTTCCAAATATGAACAAGAATATTAGACATAGGCCTACCTATAGATAGTCATGCCTAATTACGCAATAAACTGCAAACACTTATTTGGCCACAATTGTGATTATTCCATTAAAAGAAACAGCAAAGTTTCACAAAGACATACCTTTGCTGTTACCACGTACATAAAGTGATGTCTATTTGCACGTTATCTCTGTTTGACCCAGATAAAAGCAGTTGTAGACGTTAAGATATAGCATTAACACACAGTGCGGGCTTCCACCGCAATCAATTTTCGGCGGACGATCACTTTTCAGCATAATACCTGTATGCTCTACTTTTCAGTCTTTCTGGCTTCGTAAAATCTGATTTCAGGTCTGTTAACACCTTATACAGTCTATGATTTTTGACATTTCCGGGGACAGCTCCAGCCAGGGGTGGCTATGGCTCAGGAAGTAGAGCGGGTTGCCTGTTAATCCCCGGCTCCGGAGGATCGTTAATCAGAAGGTTGGTGGTTCAATCCCTGGCTTCTCCACGCTGCATGTCAAAGTGTCCTTGGGCAAGATACTGAACCAAACTGGCTGTTCCGCCAGTGTGTGAATGGTAGTTTCTGTTTGAGCACTTAGGCTCAGTGAATAAATGTCTGTGAATGCAGATAAAGACCAGAAAGGTGCTATACAAATATGGAGCATTACATTTTTCAACAGATGCTCTATTTCCTCCTGGAGCCTTTTAGACTATTGTTTAAAGGTTTACGTCTTCAGGGAGAACCAATGGGCTTGCAGCTGAGAGCCTCAGAGAGGATGTCAGACAGTGACAGGTTGCTGGTTTGGGTCAGAGCATGAGATCTGGAATAACAGCAGACTGATACTTTAAAGACATTTGTATGATGTGTTTGTTGTGTTACTCACTGAACCACATTCCCTACGCAACTCGTGTTTCAGTATCACATCATTTCACAGAACTCAGTAATATACGGCTGCGTTCTATGTGTGGGAAAGGAAAAACAGAGAGTTTATGAGGTTAGTGACACATTTTCAATTTGCATTTGCGAAAGTCAAGATCGTGGTTCTAAAAAGAGATGTGGAGTAGGAGGACGTTCTCAGGGATGATGTGAGAGGTCTGACCTCTGACCCACTGACTGAAGGAACTACCATGTCATGAATGGATACATGAAGAGACACGTAGGCATGGCACTGTTTATTTTGCAACACGTTTTTAGAAATCAGTGAATACAACACCTGCTACATGTGCAGCCTGCAACACATCTGTATGTGACAGCTGAGGGAAAACGGTACAGAATAAAAACATTTCTCTTCAGTTCTTCCTGCAGGTCTGTGTTCCTGATGCGTTCAGGGGTCTTCTGGGCAGAACTGGGAGTAAGACGTCAGCCACTTCACAGGGCAGTCCCTGAAACACACACACACACACACACACACACACACACACATACACAATATTGGTCCACGAATACAAGTCAAGAAGATGTTTTAACACTATTTTGTAGGAATATTCAGTGCTGAAACATATGAGTGGGGTGTCTGGAGGTCCTCTCCCAGAAAAATGTTGAGCATTAAATACTTTATTTCCTGCATTCAGGAGAAAGTTTCAACACCAATTTATTGCAGGAAATGTCTTTCTTTATATAAAGGAAACACACAATTCAGGTGGCAGGTGACAATTCAAAATATAAAAATATAATGCAGTAATCAGCAGCTTGTTTTTTTGGCTTAAGTTACTTTTTTTGGACAATGCACCTTTGTTTCTCGCTTTGGATAAAGCATCTGCCAAATGAGTAAATGTAAATGTTTATTCTGTATTTACAATGCATTGCAAGTTTTCTTATTGTGCAAATAAACCTTTCTTAAAACATTTTCATTTGTTAGTTAACATTTCTCCTTGCTATTTTTCAGAACATTTTAACAAATGTTTTCAAAAAGTGGTGGGGATATGTCTCCAATGTCCCCAGTGTAAATGACACCCATGTATGAATATATTGAAAAGTATATATATACGTGTGTGTTTGTACCTGTGATACTTCTGGCCTCTCCTTCTCTATATACTCTATATACAGTATATACTGTACATATATAAACGTATGTTTATAGTTAGTGCTGGGCAATGATTTTTAATAGTGATTAATCGCATTGTTATGTGCAAAATTGAATAATGAATGCTAAAGTAGTGTATTGCAGACATTTAAATGTCCAGCTGTATCCACAAAAGTGTAATAACATGCGGTTTGCAAACAGTCTAAACAAATAAGGTGCTTTTTCCCAGCAGTATTCCCTTTACACAGTAGCAATAAAATATTTCTTGTAAATCTCAACTTAAACATTAATGTATAGTCAGATCAAATATTAAACCAAAGCTATTTGCCACTGCCAGGGCATTACCTTTTATCTAGCTTGTTAAAATAAGTTACCATCAGAGTCCAGAGCCACGATCATAACATCATAACAGGCACTTTCTGAGCCACAGATTAACAGATTAAAATCTGTTTTCAGGTACAAACATTTTTCATGTTCATTATCAGGGAGCAGCAGAAACAGTCTGTGTTCAGTAGCAAGTGCATTTTAATATGTTATGTTTATGTATGGCTGCTACCTTGGCCAGGTCTCTCTTGTAAAAAAGATTTTTGATCTTAATGACACTTCCTGGTAAAATAAAGGAAAAATAAGTGTCCCTGTCACAGTGAGGTGAAGTGCTCGCCTCAGCACACGCCCGCCAGCTCCCGAAGCCGAATTGTCTTGAACTTTTTGTACGCGATGCGCAGCACAGATCATTGGAAGAGAGACTGATCCTCGCTGTTTGTGAGTTTCCAGAATCTATCACCGTTTAACTAAATAGGACATCAACAGGAGGGAATTCGCACGGCAGAGCATCCCCACAAATCTAGATGAAGGCCTATCAGACAAAGTTATGTAGCCTATAATTTGAACTTAAGTTAAATAGGCTACAGCTGTGTAGCACACAGAAGCTGTTGCCATGGTTACTATCCATAGAGCGCCTGCCGTTTACTCGCGGAGCGCTTATCTCCTGATCACCGGAGCAAAGAGCGACCCCACGGGGCCAAGCGACTATGTTGTGATTTTAAGAATGTTCCTAAGACAGACATCTTCCCCAGTACTAATCAGCATGCAGTGTGTAACTATCCACTTCACTGTGGCATTTGATCGCTTGTCTCTCTCTCTCTCTCTCCTTCACCCCCAACCGGTCGAGGCAGATGGCCGCCCACCCTGAGCCATGGTTCTGCTCGAGGTTTCTGCCTCTTAAAAGGAAGTTTTTCCTTGCCTCTGTCGCCTAGTGCTGCTCTTGGTGGGAACTGTTGGGCTCCTGTAAATATCATCACAGAGTACGGTCTAGACCTGCTCTTTTATGAAAAGCGCTCTGAGATAACTGTTGTTGTGATTTGACGCTATATAAATAAAATTGAATTGAATTGAATTGAAAATTGTCTTGCTTTTGTTTATCTACTTTACACACGATGCAGGCAGCTAGTTAGCCGAAGCCTCCCTCCACTGATTGTTTGGGAAGGTGATTTGCAGGCTGATCAACATCCCACCCCTCCTGTGACCCATGGTTTGACTGTATGGGTATTCAGAGCCAGTGAGAAACAGACTTTCAAAATAATAATAATAATAAAAACTGCGTTAACATGTGATAAAAAATAATTGTCGGCGTTAATTAATTAATGCGTTAACGCGATAACAACGTTAACGTGCACAGCCCTAGTTTATATGTATATATATGTACTGTGTGTTTGTACCTGTGATACTTCTGGCCTTTCCTTCTCTGGTACTCCATCTCATCCACGGTCCACACAGCTCCCTTTCCTCCCTCCACTCGCACAAAACACTTGTGCAGGCTGAGGTTGTGCCGCACTGCATTCTGGGTAGAACAGGAAAACAGTATTGTGACAGAAGCGTATTTCTGATGGAAACTACATGTTGTAGTCACAATTACATTTTGTCTAGTCAGAACGGCAGTCAGAGATACTCGTAATACAGCTCTGACTTGTCAATACTGAGTTAGAGATATCAGCAGTGATGTCACTGAAAGTGACTCGTCACATTTCCTAAATGACAATCATGAGTTTCAGATATCGACAATTTAATTCTGACTAGTGATAATTCCAGTTTAAGTTATCTACGCTGAGATATCTTAAACTGGAATTATGACTAGTCAATAAGCGGTTGACAATGAGTGAGTGAGTGAGTGGTATCAATAGATATATTGGGTGGCTGTGGCTCAAGGTGTAGAGCAGTCGTCCACTTAGCAGAAGGTTGGTATTTCGATTCCCGGATCCCCCCCCCAAGTATCTGTGGGCAAGATTCTGGACCCCAAATTGTGCGGTTAATGTGATGTAGTGTCAAAGCACTTTGAGTGGTTGGAAAGCCTAGAAAGGCGCTATACAAATACAGACCATTAGAAATGGGTTTTGACTATTGATATCTGCCTAGTTAAAATGTAACTACAGAGATCTGTAGGTGTCATTTAGGACGTCTGATTAATCGTTTTCATTGACATCACAGTAGATATCTATAACTCAGTATTGACGAGTCAGAGCAGAATTACAGATCTCTAACTGACTAGACATTGTTGATATCTGGAATGGTAAATCCAGATAGTCAAACTGGGCTAATAAATATTAAAACTACTTGACATTTACACATGCATGGCAAAAGTAGTTTGAATCTTACTAGTCAACATGTAACTACAGATTTCTAAATTGAGAACTTTGACCTGTCTTGAATTAGAGCTTTGGCTAGTCAACATGTAATTACAGATATCTTGAGTTAGAGCTTTGGCTAGTCAACATGTAATTACAGATATCTTGAGTTAGAGCTTTGGCTAGTCAACATGTAATTACAGATATCCTGATTTAGAGCTTTGACTAGTCAAAACGTAATTACAGATATCTCGAGTTAGAGCTTTGACTAGTACACATGTAATTACAGATATCTTGAGTTAGAGCTTTGGCTAGTCAACATGTAATTACAGATATCTTGAGTTAGAGCTTTGGCTAGTCAACATGTAATTACAGATATCTTGAGTTAGAGCTTTGGCTAGTCAACATGTAATTACAGATATCTTGAGTTAGAGCTTTGGCTAGTCAACATGTAATTACAGATATCTTGAGTTAGAGCTTTGGCTAGTCAACATGTAATTACAGATATCTTGAGTTAGAGCTTTGGCTAGTCAACATGTAATTACAGATATCTTGAGTTAGAGCTTTGGCTAGTCAACATGTAATTACAGATATCTTGAGTTAGAGCTTTGGCTAGTCAACATGTAATTACAGATATCCTGATTTAGAGCTTTGACTAGTCAAAACGTAATTACAGATATCTTGAGTTAGAGCTTTGACTAGTGAAAACGTAATTACAGATATCTTGAGTTAGAGCTTTGACTAGTCAAAATGTAATTACAGACATCTTGAGTTAGAGCTTTGGCTAGTCAAAATGTAATTACAGATATCTTGAGTTAGAGCTTTGGCTAGTCAACATGTAATTACAGATATCTTGAGTTAGAGCTTTGGCTAGTCAACATGTAATTACAGATATCTTGAGTTAGAGCTTTGGCTAGTCAACATGTAATTACAGATATCTTGAGTTAGAGCTTTGGCTAGTCAACATGTAATTACAGATATCCTGATTTAGAGCTTTGACTAGTCAAAACGTAATTACAGATATCTTGAGTTAGAGCTTTGACTAGTGAAAACGTAATTACAGATATCTTGAGTTAGAGCTTTGACTAGTCAAAATGTAATTACAGACATCTTGAGTTAGAGCTTTGGCTAGTCAAAATGTAATTACAGATATCTTGATTTAGAGCTTTGACTCGTCAAAATGTAATTACAGACATCTTGATTTAGAGCTTTGACTAGTCAACATGTAATTACAGATATCTCGAGTTAGAGCTTTGACTAGTCAAAATGTAATTACAGATATCTTGACTTTTAACTAGTCAGCATGTAATGCAGTACATGGTATGTTGCTCCACTTGCTCTGTCTCTGTCATTTGCTTGATTGAAAGATTGATTTGTAGATTGAAGAGTATATGCACTGAGCTCAACACATACACACACACACTCTTCTTGATGAAATACATGTTGCAAATGATATTGGTGATTCTACCTGAGGAAGATTCAAGAATAATTTTTTGACTACTCGCAACTGTGCAATTTCTTTACATGGTGTTAAATATTATAATCCTATGAAGAAGCCGTGCAGGTGAAACAGTGTGATGCCTATCATTTCTGCAGGTATCAGAGTGAACATGTTCAAACCTTCCAGGTAGCAGTGTTGTGTCTGAAATAGAAGAACATGGTCGTGAACCAGTTGTAAATCTCGTTCAGTGTGCGTTGTTTGTCTGGAGACTCCAGGATGGACTGTTAGACAACACACAGGGACAAGTTTTGAACAACTTCACAAACAAGTCAACACCTTCTGTTAGCGTCTTTCCACAGAAACTCACCCATCTTATCAGGTAGGCGTAGGTGTACGGAGGCCGGATGTTGTTGTATTTGTAACATTCGATACTGGGGACCAAATCTGCACAACAATGAGGACACGTCATCAGGTCATGGCTTCAAACACACGTGATTAGGACATTGTTACGTGGTGACTCAGCTGTAAATACCACAATGCGTTGGGGAGTGATAATATATACAACTGCACAGCGTTCAGTCACGGTCACACTATTACACAAAACCTACTCCTATTAAAAGACTGAGATTACAGATTATTTGATCACTGCACAAATCCTGAGTCCTTCATACCCCAATAGAAGTAATCAGAACCTTTTTTTAATCTCACAGGTTTAATTTAGCATTTTGATTCTATTACAAATGTCAAAATGGGTGCGGTGTTTGGGATTATTGTTTTATGAATGAAAGGTTTGGCAGTCAATATGATTCTCAAATAATATGATTAAGTGATTTAGTGGAGATCTTGCAAACAGCATGTTAAAAAACAAAATAACTTTCATGTTACAATAAAAAAAGTAAGAGATGGTTTAGTTTATTTTTTTGTATAAATTTTAGTATCCGATAAATTAGGTCAGAGTGAAGCTGAAAGTTATGGACCCCTCAAAGTCCTGAGTGTTGTTTCATTTTTTAATTTTATCTTGCTCTGACATTAATGAGCAGCAGGACTTTCTTTCCACGCTCATCCCTCTCAGTTTTAAGCCATTTGTATTCTTTTACTGGCTAATTTAATCTACTAATCTCATGTCAGATCCTCATTTGTCTAAAAGACAGTAAATAAACACAAAACTGTGATGATGCTAGTGAGCAATTAGCCGTAGCACATTAGAAAGCTCTATTTTGGGTGGTGATGGCGCAATGGATAAGACACATGCCTTTGGTGTAAGAGACCCGGGTTCAATCCCCCACTGTGACCTGTCCACCAATGTGTCCCTGAGCAAGACACTTAACCCCTAGTTGCTCCAGAGGCATACAACCTCTTACATATATAGCAATTGTAAGTCGCTTTGGATAAAAGCGTCAGCTAAATGGATAAATGTATTTTTATCATCAATAGCCCTCCAGAGGAGGCATGTTACCTGGCAGAAGGTGGGCAGAGCCAGCAGCTCTGTAGCCATGTTGGGACAGCTCCTCCAGATGTTTAATGCCCCACTGCTGCACTCTGTCGCCATCTACTGGAGGCTTCGGCAGGAACAGAGGAAGGCTGTACGGCCACTCAGATGCTGCCTTCTGCGTCAGTGATGGATGAGCAGGGAGAAAATCACATGAGGTTCTAAAGTCTTCTGAAAACTCTTCAATCTACAAATCAATCTTTCAATCAAGCAAATGACAGAGACAGAGCAAGTGGAGCAACATACCAAATCAGGGCACTTGTGTTCAGAGAGGTGAAGATGAAGCTGCATCGCAATGAGTTTCTGTTTTTCCAGTATAAGCTGAAAAAAGAAATGTTTGAATTTACATTAAAGTGTGCTTAAGTGGTTTCACGAGTCAAGACCTGCAGAGAGTCTGTTAGTCATTAGTTAAAGTGTCCTCAGATCAACAGTTGTTTAGGGTTAGGGTAACAACTTCACAGTGTCTCCTGCTGGCACTGATGTAAGAACATACATTATTATATTTTAAACTGTATCAACCATGCAAACAAGTATCACTACTGCCATTTCTGTCTTCATACTCACAATTCAGCAGGCGCTTTGTTGCTTCCTATACCAGAGACAATGAAATACAATCCAGGAAGTCCTGCTGTTACTATATAATAAATCCACCAGTCTTAGCGCTGGATGAGTTCACTGGTTACGCCTGTTTCCTCTAATCCAGGATTCTACAACTTTTAAAATATGTTTACAGTTCTTACCTTTTGCCTTGAAGATCAACACTGTGTCGCCAGAGTTATTCGGATAAATGAGAGGACTGACTCAAACTGAACGCTGCTTTATTTGCTTTCATGACTATGGTTTCTTACTTAAAGGGCGTATACACGGTAACTGAGGCGTTACAAGACTTGATCAATTGTGGGAAGAGAATTCATGGTGTAGTGGTAGACATTCTAGGTTTCTTTAGTTCCCACCTGACTCTCCATGCACTGAACAATATCTTGTTGGACCCTCCACTGAGCAATGCTTCGGTCACCATGACTGTGCTCAGAATGGAGATGCCTACAGGAAGCAAAATAGGACAAGGTTAGTAGGCCAAAGTTTTTAGGAAAAAAACACTTTGCCATGAAACTCACGATCAGATGAGAAGTTCTAGTCTGTTTGTGCCCAGAAGACACAGACTCCCTTTCCCCACAGAGTAGTGTGTCTCCTTACCATAACCAGAACTAGTCATCTCTGTGATGCCTAACCATAACCTGATACTAAATTAAGTGATATCTTAACATGTATTTGAAGGTAGGACAGGACTGGGACATGTTTAACCTTAAATGTACAGATGTTCTTTCAAACATTACTAAAACTACTTCCAAGTTTAAAGAAGAATGTTGGGGTAACTATATGAGGCATCAGTTCTAACTTCTCTTGGGACCACTACCATTGTCAAAGCTGCTATCTTAATGAAATAAACTAAACAAACTACTGTACATTCAAGAGTGACTTGGTCTCATTCATGGTGGAGCACTGACAGAGATCAAACTTGGCAACCAAGGTTGATGCCTCTGGCTATTGTTGGCAATACCAGTTGATAACAACAAATTATGCGGTATTTTGCACATACCAACAACGTAGCAACATGTCGACAGATATAGGTTGGACTGGACTGTATTTAATGAGACACAAATAACACATAAGTGCAATAAACAGTAAATTACTAGAGCTTTCACTACTGTTGATTCTGGGAGCAGCCATCCTGGATTTTGAGGTCGGGGTTGGTGAGGTTCTCCCAACTACTATACATATAAGAGTCAGAAAGTAAAAAATTAAGGGGGCGTTCCTGTTTAAATATTCCGACTTTCCATGTCAAATGGAACGCACCATTAGCAGAAACACTGAGAGCAGGGGGGAGAGGGTTAGCTCCATTACAGTACCTAAGATGTTATGGTGCTGCATTCTGTCCATCTGCTCATTTGACTCTGGGTAAATTCTTTTAAAGAGATAATAATGTAACATTACTGATCTCAACTTAAGAGTGGTGCATCAGTAATCTCTAGCTCTTCAAGGTTGATCATAACTACAGCACTATAATGGCAAGTGAACACAGTATTCAGCAGTGTACTTACTTTAGGAAGCTAGGGAAATCTTCAGATGCTGCTTCACAGCCAGGCCAGCGGCAGAGGCCACTCACAAACAGAGCACTGGTGCCCTCAGGGATGCTGGAGGGAACAGGAATGTCTCAGTGATATCAGTGATGTGACTGAAAGTGCTTTCAGACACAAAGTTCACAAATTAAAGGTTATGTTTGAGGCCATGGTGTGCTGTCCCCTAGGCTGAGACTAACTAAAGTGCTAAAGTTTCTCCTTGTAAAACACTAGTTGTAATAAATCATAGCTTTCCTTTCACCATTAGAGGTGGCAGATCAGGAAATAGTCATATGTGTCATTTTTGTGACAGAACATGCACATCCAGGGGGAGCTCGGAGTAGAACCACTGTTCCTTCAGACAAGTCACCTCATGGAAGCCTCCCTGTGGAGATGTTCCCAGCCTTATACATGTTGTCTAGTCCTGAAAGCCCTCTGCGTCACCCAGGAGGAGCTGGAGGATGCATACAGTCTAGGCAGCCCATTTGTTCCCTGGCCAGGTGGGATATGTGATCTCTCCGATGTTCTGGGTCTGTCATGGGGCCTCCTACAAGTTGGACGTGCTTGGAGAACCTGCACAGGGAGGCTTCCAGGAGGCAGCTCAACTGTTCTTCTGGATGTCCAAGCTTCCCTTCCTGTCTCTAATTGTGAGCAGAGCCACTCTGTGAGGGAAATTCATTTTAATGCTTGTATCTGTGATCTAACTGTTTGGTAAGTATCCAAAGCTCATGACCATAGATGGGGGTTAGAATGTAGATCGAGAGAGATACAAAGATAATTGAACTGCTTCACTTGAAGCACAATTCATACAGTTGCTCCTCTCTGACACCACAGTGCCACCTTCACCCGTCACCTGAATCCTGAGGTCACCAAACTGGACACTCTTTGCTGCACCTTGAGAGTTTGTCCTTGAACACACAATCAGTAAGGCACAACTGTGGTGGGTCTCCTGATGCCCAGCCCACACCAGATACCCCAGTGGAAATGGTCATATCCAGCTGGTCTACTGTCCCACGACCAGAACTGAATGTGCATTCATGTAACCTTATTTTTAGCCAACCCATTAATAAGACAGCAAACGAACATTGCTATCTTATGATGCATTGAGTTATTTGCTAAATATGTCATTCAGTGTAAATGTGTGAAGGTCACCTGTCATGAAGCCTGGTCTCAATGGAGCTCTGCTTTGGCCTGTCTCTCCTTAAGGGGAAGAAGAGGTGGCTTTGCCTGGTAGAGGAGCCCATGTGTGGTGAAGAGGACTGGGGAAGACGGCCCGCATCCGCCTCTTCCTTGCAAACAGAGACGGCAGCACTGCTATCTGGATGTACTAGGGGAAGAAAGTAGGCCTTTGATCTGCTGATGATCTGCTGCATAGACAGGTAGTGAATGTTCTTAAAATTCTGATTCAGTTTATTTATTCAGTTAAGAAAACATCAAGCACCAATGCGGTATATTAAGGCTAACATTGTTTGTGCACGCTAGAAGAGCTTGAAGTATGCCTAAAAATGTCAACACATAAAAAGATTGTCATGTAGATAGGTGTTGTTGTTGGTGTGCAGCTGGGGACAGCTGGGGTTTGCGTACCGTGTTGTCTCCTGGAAGCTGTTTGGGAAACTTGACGCAGCACCGATGGCCTCTGCTGCTTCTGCCTAATGCCTTCCATAGAGCCCCAACACTGGGGGGAGAAAACACAATGTCAACTACAGATGGTGGGACAAATTAAAATGAAGTTACTGGACCTTGTACAAGAACATTTTTATCCTCAACCTCTCCTGCTTTTTCAGGTTTGTTCACATGAATGCTCAAAGTTAGATTCAACAATGTGTCCTAACTACACCAACTGATGGCTGATGGGATAACAAATGGCTCGTTTCAGCCTGATGAACACCAGCTGTTCACGAGGAGTTGCACGTTCATGACATGTGATCATTTCCATAGTTGATGCCCCTAAAATGACCATGTAAGGCTGCCTGTACTGCTCTGTTTGTGGTTATATTCATCCATTTCAATCAGAAAATCTAAGACATGATGATGATGATCTGGCATTAAGTTCTTCTTAGTTATATACTATACTGTATGTACTGTAAAATTACCATTAGACTTATTAGAGCTCTACAATGACCAGCTAGAACATTAGTTGATCATTTATTAATTAATAATATTAACAATATATTATATTGAGACTGTGAACGCTGTCTGTGTTTAGGAAGTGGTTACGTTTGTTCCAGCCACTTCCAGTTCCTGTATGATGTAATTTGTTGCAGACCTGACGTCCTGTGGCGGGCGGTGACACCACGTCCCTAGTGTAAGGAGGAGGAGGTGGAGGAGGAGGAGGAGGTGGCTGTTTGATCCTGTCACGTTGTGGCTGAATTTGGTCCTCTTCACATCTCACAATCTCACCGGATGTCTCTGGCATCTCTGCAGTGACAGGAGACCCATTAACACTTCACTGTTATAGTGATACATAATACTACCTTTCATGTACACACACATTTTAAAATGAACAAAACTAACACTCACAGTAAGCTGCTTCATAGCATAATGTTGTGTAAAAGTTTCCTTTTTCTTGTTTTTTGTTTTGCAAATTTATTAATTATTTCACCCAAACCTAATAATTCAATAAAACAAGTACTTGAAATGTTTTTTAGTAAAATAAATACATGACCATTCATAACTTCCCATTGTTCCTAATATTAGTAAGTTGTTAATATGATGTTAATACATTGTTAATTTAAGTTGTTAATATGATGTTAATAAGTTGTTAATTTAAGTTGTTAATATGATGTCAATAAGTTGTTAATTTGTTTAGTTGTTAATATGATGTTAATACGTTGTTAATTTAAGTTGTTAATATGATGTTAATAAGTTGTTAATTTGTTAACAACTGCTCTGAACTGCTTGAAAACAGCTTGTTTGTAGTCCAACCGTTCCCATTTCATCCCTGTGTTGAAACATGGATGAAAGCAAAATGTGCGTCATAGCGCTCTTCGAGCAGCTAGTCCGAGCTGCAGCACACTTCTCCTCTCCCTAGCTAGCCAAACACTAGCTACCCTCCAGGCAGTCAGTGGACATAAAGTTGTTACTGTGATGTAGAGACAGAGCTCAGTGAAAACTTTATGGTTACAAATTAATATCTCACCACTCTGAAACTCTTGCTGGTAAGGGGAACATATACAGCTGAACTGAAGCCGTGTTTACCGGCTTCTCACAACCCGCCTTTCTCTGCTTCTGATTGGCTAGTAGTCCTTAATAAAGAACTGTGCATGTGCAACTCCCAACAAAGATCATGTAGAAGCAAGATTTATCACTCCATAGCTAAAACGAAGCTTTCAACACACAGTGTGAAAAGAGGAGCTGCAGTATGACAAAAATATGGTGCTTTTCAAAAATGAAACCATGTAAACCTGTTCTGGTACAATCCCTAAATAAAATGATGAACCTGAAAATGAGCATAATATGACCTCTTTAAGTTGTTAATATGATGTTAATAAGTTGTAAATACATTCTTTATTTAAGTTGTTAATATGATGTTAATATGTTGTAAATACGTTGTTAATTTAAGTTGTTAATATGATGTTAATAAGTTGTAAATACATTCTTTATTTAAGTTGTTAATATGATGTTAATATGTTGTAAATACATTCTTTATTTAAGTTGTTAATATGATGTTAATATGTTGTAAATACGTTGTTAATTTAAGTTGTTAATATGATGTTAATAAGTTGTAAATACATTCTTTATTTAAGTTGTTAATATGATGTTAATATGTTGTAAATACGTTGTTAATTTAAGTTGTTAATATGATGTTAATAAGTTGTAAATACGTTGTTAATTTAAGTTGTTAATAAGTTGTTAATTTGTTAACAACTGCTCTGAACTGCTTGAAAACAGCTCGTTTGTAGTCCAGCCATTCCCCTTTCATCCCTGTGACAACACATGGATGAAAGCAAAATGCGTGTCATAATGCTCTCCAAGCAGCTAGTCCGACACGCCCTCAAAAACAACAGTGGAAAAACAGTGAGCAGCAGCGCACATCTCCTCTCCCTTCCAAACACTAGCTACCCTCCCTGTCAATGGACAGAAAGTTGTTGCTGTGATGTAGAGACAGAGCTCAGTTAAAACTTTATGGCTGAAAGATACTTTTGTTACAAATGAATAACTGACCACTCTGAAACTCTTGCTGGTAAGGGGAACATATACAGCTGAACCAAAGCTGTGTTTACCATTGACTGTAAATAAAAATGCACGTAGTGTATGTGACTTCACCCGTTGGTTTTTGAAGAGCCGTTTTGAAGCTCAAAATTGGTGGAGGTGGTCTGCACCACCTTGGCAGTGCGTCACTGTGCGTCACTCCCGCATAACCAAAAATGGGTGGAGCTGAGGTGACGTGTTGCTGAAACCACTCCCTCCTAGCATGACGTGACCGAGTTAGCTCAAGGTAAGGAGCAAATACTATATGCTACTCTGCGTTAGCAGAGGTAGCTTCTAAACCCCTGGTGCTGTACAAAACGAACAATTTGAAGCAAATCAATTAACCCTTTTACATAAGGTTAGTTACGAGTCGTTTATTTGGATGTCACCTCAGTATGTTACTTGTATTCAACATAATAAGCTAGCGGTAGAGCTGAAGAGCTGGAAGCTGGAACCTGGGGCTGTTATCTCCTGTAGAGCTGGACACAGAAAATCACATCTGGAGGGTTCTGCAATCAGCTCCTCTGGTACCTGTAAAGACAACAATGGGTAGACTGTTAAGCAGCTTCTTCCAAACTGCCATAAAGCTACTGAACTCTGAGATCACCTCAGCATGATAACCTCTCTTGCATGCAAAAGTAATTAGGGGTGGCAATGTGAAATACACTGTTTACTAATATGTGCAATTTACGGTTTGCTGCTGGACACTGTGCAATAATAATCCATGCTGCTAGACACCTGTTGACTACTCAAGTCAGATCTTATTGAACGTTTATTATAAGAATCTTATTCTATATTTCTTATTGAACTGTACTACCCTTTTAGGCAAATTCGGCGGCTCTCACACACCTAATTTCTCACCTTAACTAAACCATCACCCTAGTTACAGTCCAGCTACCTTTCTGCAGGCAAATCTCTGCAGGTAGCCTACAACATCTGTTCTGCCGAATAATGCATCCACCTCTTAAGGTCCTTATCAGAAACGTTGCTGATCAAACGCATTTATCACCTGAGATTGTTTGCTGAATCTTAAGGAATGCTACATCTACTAAGTGTAATAACTTATTGATGACTCCTTCAATATGTCCTTCGAATTAATCGTCCCCACTGATGAACCCCACAAAGAGTATAACGTTATCCTTTTTGAACAGTACACTTGGAGGTGCATGGCTCTCCTCGGCGAGAAGGCAGAACTCTGCAGCCGCTCCCCCCTCGGCTCTCTGCCTTTAAACTCTTCGTGTCCCTCTGGTTCAGGTGCAGCCACTTACAATAGTATCTGACTAGTATCTAACTGAACAGTGACTGCCTTACAGGACGTAGCCTAATCTAACGTTGCCCGTTTGTAAAGTTTACCGTTAACATAATGTTAACGTCAGCTAACAGAGCTGAGCCAGAGAGGTTTGGCTGAGCCTTTACAACTTCACACTCGCCTTTTCCAAAGCATCATCACCCTAATGTCTAACACTAAGGTTAATCTAAGACATTTTGGCTTCTCTCTTCATTCTAACTTGTTTTTGACTCCTTAAAAGCTGCAGTTAGAACACAGTAACTCCCGTTGACTTAGCATCGTTAGCAGCTTGGGGCTCCTCGTGTCTGGCTAATTAGTGTAACGAGCTAAGCTAACAAGCTATATACCGACAGCGATACCTGTTAAATATTGTTAACACATAAATAAAATACAGGAATTTCACTCACCAACTGGAGCATGGACTTCCTGGAGGTTCTCTCTCCAATAAACTGCCATTATTCATCTGCATGTAGAAATGTCCAAAAGGCTCCTACAGGCTAAGCCTCAGAGCTCCGTGTGGCTGTGAGGTTAACAGACGGCAGTCACTCGGCCAGGAGTGACAGAGGCCAGAGACACCTGTCAATCAAAACGGCTATGCCCCTAATAATGCAGAACCTTAACACAGGTGAGTTATAAAAATATTCACCCTCACAGTTGTATTGTATTTGCAATATACACTAAAACTACTTTTTAAGTTTTAATATGATGTTAATAAGTTGTTAAAATGATGTTACTAAGTTGTTAATATGATGTTAATAAGTTGTTAAAATGATGTTACTAAGTTGTTAATATGATGTTAATAAGTTGTTAAAATGATGTTACTAAGTTTTAATATGATGTTAATAAGTTGTAATATGATGTTAATAAGTTGTTAAAATGATGTTACTAAGTTGTTAATATGATGTTAATAAGTTTTAATATGATGTTAAGTTGTTAAAATGATGTTACTAAGTTTTAATATGATGTTAATAAGTTGTTAAAATGATGTTACTAAGTTGTTAATATGATGTTAATAAGTTTTAATATGATGTTAAGTTGTTAAAATGATGTTACTAAGTTTTAATATGATGTTAATAAGTTGTTAAAATGATGTTACTAAGTTGTTAATATGATGTTAATAAGTTTTAATATGATGTTAAGTTGTTAAAATGATGTTACTAAGTTTTAATATGATGTTAATAAGTTGTTAAAATGATGTTACTAAGTTGTTAATATGATGTTAATAAGTTTTAATATGATGTTAAGTTGTTAAAATGATGTTACTAAGTTTTAATATGATGTTAATAAGTTGTTAAAATGATGTTACTAAGTTGTTAATATGATGTTAATAAGTTTTAATATGATGTTAAGTTGTTAAAATGATGTTACTAAGTTGTAATATGATGTTAATAAGTTGTAATATGATGTTAATACGTTGTTAATATGATGTTACTAAAGTTGTTAATATGATGTTAATAAGTTGTTAAAATGATTCAATTCAATTCAATTTTATTTATATAGTGCCAAATCACAACAACAGTTATCTCACAGCGCTTTTCATAAAAGAGCAGGTCTAGACCGTACTCTATGATGTTAATAAGTTTTAATACGATGTTAGTAAGTTGTTAAAATGATGTTACTGATTTTTAATATGATGTTATTATGTTGTTAAAATGATGTTGCTAAGTTATTAATATGATATTACTAAAGTTGTTAATATGATGTTAATAAGTTGTTAAAATTATGTTAATAAGTTTTAATATGATGTTAATAAGGTGTTAAAATGATGTTACTAAGTTGTTAATATGATGTTAATAAGTTGTTAAAATTATGTTAATAAGTTTTAATATGATTTTAATAAGGTGTTAAAATGATGTTACTAAGTTGTTAATATGATGTTAATAAGGTGTTAAAATGATGTTACTAAGTTGTTAATATGATGTTAATAAGTTGTTAAAAT